AATCTAAGTACCGACCGACTCGAAAGAAAGCTCGCCCGGTTCTCTCTCTCTCTTCTCGATAACCTCAACCAAGACCTCCCCGCAATTTATCAACAGGGGCATCATGTTTTTTTCCTTATTCTTTCTCTGTCCCCGATCTAGCAAGAGCAGAAGCACGACGATAAGGCACCATTTCGGCTACTCAGGTTAGCTAGTGGTCGCAATTTAAATCCTAGCAATGCAGGAACAAGGACCCTTGTCGTTCGAAGTTTTTTCGTCAACAACTCTCCGTCCGCTTTGGGCAGTGGCGCTACAACGCTAACGCAGGTACACGTTCCTAGTTTTACCCGTGTGGAGAGATCTAGGAACGCATGGATACTATCTATTTTTAGGCACTGAACGTCAGTTATCGCGTATTAAAACACACGGAGAGGTCTGTACTCTATCTCAACACATGAGTACCTAGAGTATCTATCGACTGTGCTTTTTCGTTACTGTTTAGAAAGCAGGTTTTAAGTGGGGTAAATGAAGCCTGAAGAAAAATGTTGAACTTCTGCGGTCGCGGTTTATCCTCCTATTTTGGACAGGTGTTCCAACTTGATGTTGTGAGAAACCTTATTGCACCGTTCTGAGCCCTAAACCTTGTGTCACTGGCATACGTCGTATTAAATCAATGAAAGCATCACTCAGTCCAGAACATCCCATAAACGCGAAATCCCATCTTCCAGCCCCATCGTTCGCGAGCATACATGATGTATGTCCGAGACGAGACCTTTACATGCCCAAGTCTTGAGTCTTACTGGCCGAGAGTAGAGACTCTACAGTATTAACTTACACCTACCTAATTTTGCGTTTGTAATCAAACATTTATTTGGTTTGTTGAGCTGCTCGCCGCTGAAATACTTGACTGTGGGTGGGTGACTCACTTCAGCCCCAACGGGTGCACTAATAAATTGAACCCTGTCTGATTGGGCTAGAAGTTGTGTGATGCGAAATGACTAATAAGAGGGAACATGCGATTAGACCAAATATCGCTTTGTGGGGTTGGAGAATATAATGTATATACAAACTATCAACGCAAATATGGAATAATATCAGTATTCTTGATTTGAAGTCGCGCCCCCGAAATAACCTCCACAGTTCAGGGAACCAATTAAACATATATAGCTGCCTCCATTATCTAGCTATCGGAATTCGAATAATTCTTCATCTGTATTATTGCTTCAAAACCTGGCCTTGAGGTGGTACATATCTCGTGTCTAACAGGGCGGTACCTGGCCGCGCGCGTGGAACTATCATACAGTGCGTCTTCGCTTTTAAAAACACCGGGATGTGAAAAGACGTGCATGTATGTTTATGTAATTGAATTAATTGATATACTTGTTTACCACGAAAAGAACCAGATAATGCAGTTGCTCAGGGCAAGGATTATTTGTATGGAGTGGCGGTGATCTCTCATACAAAGTATCCCTGTTTCCGTCACTTGCATTTTCTGGTTCTTTTCGTGGTAAACGAGTACTACATGTATGTATGTACATGTATTTACATGAAAATTAGGTATCATGCTTACCTTAACGTCGAAACGCATACAATTTTGAGCCTTTTATATTGCTTATTTGATGCTTATATAAGCAAGATTTGAGCGTTTTCCCATGTTTTGGGGCCCGTTCGGACAACCTTAGATTATTTCTTCGGGTTATTGGACAGACTGGATTATCAGGTAGCGGAAGTGATAATCATAATACTCATAATAAGTGGATAATCTACATGTCCGGATAATGTTAGCTCTCAGGATATCTGTGTTGTGTGGGAATAATTACCTCCGAAGGTGATTGTTTTCTTGGCGGATTATTGGGATAATCAGGAGTTCCGAATGTTGGATTATTCAATTGCACGAACAGCATAGATTATTGTGATAATCCAAAAGTCGATAATCCGTCAGATTATCGCCAATAATCTAGATTATTGGGTTGTCCGAACGGGCCCTTGGTCTTATTCTCGTTTAATTGTATTGTAAGACTACGTTTGGAAAATCCATAGCGTTAGATATTGATTAGTAATATCAATGAGTCAAATCCCGAAGTAATGATTTTTTAACCATTAATTTAGTCTTATCCAAAAATCAACATTTAATAAGCAAAAATTCGGTGTAAGCCTTGTTCCCGGAACAGGGCTTATTTCATGCTTATTTACGCCTGATTCAAGTTCCTGGATCAGGAGCCTAAATATGATTATTACTTTTTTGAGCTTTATCTAGTACGAATAAGCAATAGCACTGTTTACTCTTGATTTGGTATATTATATCAGAGGTAGATTCCATTCTCGATTCCGTGCCAGTGCTCTATTCCGTACTCGATTCCATACCTAAATCTCGCCCTAAGCAAAGTAAGCAAAGATACAGCAGAATTACGTGCTAGACGGAGGACACCAAATTACGTACTAGCAGGAGGCTTTTGCGCAGCATGTTGACGATTGATTGGCCGGTAATCTGGAGTTGTATCGAGATAGACTCGGAGATAGAGGTGGAGGTGGAGGTGGAGGTGGAGGTGGAAGGCGGAAGGTGGGGTGGAAGGTGGGGTGTCGCTGGAAGTGTAATTTGGCCTGTGCCAAGCAAGCCAGAGTTGCTTATTGCTCTATATATAAGCCTAATCGTCAGTATCAGCATCAAATATCGATTATACCGTCAGTATGGCGTATATGATGGTGCTCAGGCGTATCGGTATTTGAGCATTTGTGCCTGATATTGCTTATTTGATGCTCAGGTGTATCGGTATCTAAGCCTAATCGTCGATATCGGCATCAAATATCCATCAATCTACGTATATTGCTTATTCCTGAATAAGATGCATCGAGAATAAGGCGTAATTCAGAGATTACGCCTCGTTTATGAATCAGGGTTAGGGTTTTTTAAACCCAAAGCACAGCATTACCGAATTAAAAAGCATCAGATTGACCCTATTTTGGGAAAAGCAATAGCAGCTAATATTACTAATCCAGATAAACGCTTAATCTAGCCTCTTTTGGTAAATAATGTATATAATATGCTTAATTAAGACTCTCTGTACGTAATAAGGCTCAAAATTTTATGCGTTTCGACGTTAAGGTACTTGTACATATGTATGGCTCGAGAAGCTATAGAGGGTAGGTGTGTAAACTTCAGCGTTTGCAGCCAATCAATCTATAGAAACTGGGAGATCTACTCCATAATGGTACTAGCGCCTAGAATTTCTCTAATTCCCATACAAAAAAAGTTCCTCTGAAGTTGACACACCCACCCCCTATGCCTTCTCGCGTCATAGATAGCAGGCGCAGACGTACCTATGTCGTAATTCTCAAAGTAGAAACCTTTTGTTGTCTCATATATAGAGACCTCATATTGGGAAATGATAGATCATATGGAACCGTTGTTTACTCACTTTATGCGCGGGCTCTACGCAGTTTACTCCATCTCAATATCCAAAAATAAATTGTGGCTTTACTTATAGAGAGTAAAATACTAAGCTACACTCTATGGCTGCGCTTGGGTTTACAATACCCTCGAAGGTTTAAAATACCCCCAATGACAACGCAACATACTTGTGAGGAATAAAGGACCACATATAATACCGATTCTAAGGGATATATCGCGCCAATCCACAATCAAAAAACGGGGTAGGCCTCAACTTTCCAGGCAGGAAAGAGTTGGTCAAGGGTTTCGTGCGGATACAATTAAATGCTCACGTTGTGCATGTGCATAACCTAGGCAGTACACCACTTGCAGTGTTCTTCCAACATGAAGACAAACTCGCACTTGCCCTACTCTTCCAATTGGGAGTTGGGCTCACATTAATTATTATGCCCTTCCGATATGAACATGGACTTGTATACATCATGCCTTCCCCTTGCAGTTTATCGCATCGCCATTGGGGGTATTTTAAACCCCCGAGGGTATTGTAAACCCAAGCATAACCGTGGAGAGTACATGTAGTTTAGTAGTATCTTGCTCTAGCCTGCTTGTGGCTACATATATGGTGCGCCCACGCTTAAAGGTAGCGGATCGCGACGAAATGTCAATGGCTTATAACTTTTCAACGAAAAATCGTAAAAGAAAAGTGTAATGATAGAACTCTAGTACTAGTGATGAAGTTTAGTTCTATCATTGCAGAATTTTATTATCTGTCTGGGTTGTAAAGCCTTAGGAAGTTGAAATTGTGTATTTTTGTATGTAAAATGCGCCAAGACTGAACAAAGTGGAACAGGATTATACCCATTTATACCCCCAGAAAAGCAAACCTGACTGATCCGTGGCTGTAATGCAGCCGAATGGCCCTCTTACTGGCCCATGAGGCCCTATTGCAGCCACAATTGTTCCACTTCCGTATGCCACCATATCACCTTTAAGAGTGTGCGCACCATATTCTAGGTACCAGGCCGGTAGGTATATCGATACCACTTCTAAAGTTAATATTAATTGGTCCAGGTGGTCTTCGTATACGTATATATAAGTCACCGAAGGAGTCAACAATACAACTAACCCAAATAACCATGGCGTCGTTACCGTGTGTTAATAGCATGAGTGATATCTGGTGATTCAATATAACCATACCCCAACAGTATCTAACCTTAAGTCGATGTCTTATAGTACCGGGTACTTACTTCCGTTGTAGCCACAAAAATTGCCCTAGAAGTAGGTGAGAGATCGTTTGTTTGCTCGTTTTCCTTGCCCGTTGCTGCATTCCTACTAGTGCCGTGAGTGCAAGTTTCGGCCATATAATTAAAACTACTATGATATCTGGCCAATACTTTGTATGTAGTTATATCACTGAAGTGAGTCCAGGAACTCAGTACAACATAAATTAAATCCCTAAACACCGACGTTAGCAAACACCCTATCCCTTAAAACTCTACAAACAATCAAAAAAAAAAAACTTGGCATCCTCGATCTTCATGCATGCATCCAGATAACGCACTATCGCCACTCCCCACCACTAACCCCCTCAAGCGCGTCCTCCCTGTGCACTACCTGCGCATACACTACCACTATGTCCCCACCACCATCCTCATCGTCCAGCGACTACGGGAGCGATATCAACCTCCCAGACCTCGACGGCCACGATTCCTCAACGACTGCTGTTGCCAGTGGTAGTGACTACGGCAGCGACATCGATCTTACTGACATCGACCTCCTCAACCTTCTTGACGATCCAGCACATCTATACCCGCCGCTACCACATTATGATTTCCCGGCGCGGCCCCCCAACCAGGCACCTCTGGTGGTGCAGTACGAAACCGAGCCTCCGCAGACCAGTAATATGCCCGCAAAGATTGCTACAGACCAAGGCTGACGTCGCGCGCGCAGGCCCAACACCAACACTCCCAACGATCAGTCCCGCGCAGCCCGAGATGGAGGCCGCTGATACTTCCCCGCCACTCCCGGGGAGATCTCCGTATGAGCGTTTTCGGTCGAGGCGTGGCCGGTTGAGCGTCACAGATCTGGTCAGTGGCGTGTGGTGTGAACAGCAGTTTATGTATACGTTAGAAACGGGGTTTAAGCGTAATACGCCGGCGATGCGAAGGGGAACGAGGCTACATAAAGTGCTAGAAGAGGAGGTACATACGACCGTGCCTGTGACGGTCAAAACGAAAGAAGACCAGTGGGGGCTTAAGTTGTTCAATATATGCCAGGGACTTCAGTCACTAGCGGAGTATGGAATGACGAGAGAGCTAGAAGTATTTGGGTGGTTGGATGGGATATTTATTAGTGGGGTTATCGACGAGATAACTTATGACCACCCTCGGCCGGATGGGGTGGAGGTGGAGGCGGGGACGGAGGCGACAGAGACTCCGTCGGATGATGAGAGTTTCACGACCTGCCCTGACGATGTCCCAAAGGTTGTTTATATCACGGATACCAAGACCCGCATGACGCCCACAGTACCTAAGCAGTCACAGCAACTTTCCGCATCGCTGCAGTTGACATTTTACCATACGTTGCTCGCCTCGTTGCCCTCTGTTCCATTTAACGAGGTCATTGCGCACCATAACCTCTCTCCGACAGCCCGATTCTCGGACACATTTATCGCACAGATTGCATCAATGCAGTCCACCATCTCACTGCAAGACCTCCTTGACAATAACTCACTCCCGGGGATGTGGTCTTTGGTGCTGTCCCAGTATGCTAAAGCCATAGACAGCATTGGTGACACAGTCGGTGTGACATACCGCTTCCAGGGTAATGGTGAAGTGATCGCGGAGCGGTCATGGCGGGTAGAGGAGGATGTGCGGGAGCGACATCTAGATGATGTAATGCAATGGTGGAAGGGCGAGAGGACAACTAGAGGCGTGGCCATCGAGGAAGCATGGAAATGCAGCATGTGCGAATTCCAGGAGGGATGTACATGGAGACTCGGGAAGCTCGAGGAGACTCGGAGGAAGGCAAGGGATAGTTTTGCAGCGAATGAGAAGGTGGAACCGAGGGATAAGGTTGAGATCAACGAGGACGCGTTGAAGACGGTAGAGAGGGTGAGGAGGGGGAGAAAGGCGGCAGGAGAAGCGGTGGCTAGCGACTCTGATACCAACAAAGAGGAGAAACCGAGACGCCGTAGATCGAAGAAGAATAAAGATATCGCTACTACCGCCACTTCTGACGAAGCAGTACAGGTGGTAAAGAGAGGCAGAGGTAGACCGAGGAAGGACGAAAACGCCGCCGTCAACGCTGCTACGTCCACTACCACTACCACAGGCAAAGAAGCACAAGTGGTAAAGAGGGCTAGAGGTAGACCGGGAAGAGATAGTAATATAGATCCTTCTTGAACCTATCTTCTATGGCTTTTTTTTTTTTTAGTCATATACATGTAGTGTACTATACTATCGTTTTGGGGGTGGGGGTATACATATGGCGTTCATTAATTCTGGGATGGAATGTCCAAATAGGTTTATAAACAATGAAGATCGTTCTTTTGATCATAATCGATTAAAGCCATGGCCATGTATGTAAATCAACCACAATATTTGCTGATGTTCAAAGTCAGGCTGTACTCGCATGACTTGATTGAAGCCGCCATGGTTGATAGGAATTTCCTACTAGGCTGAATACAATAATTAGTTATATATCAATTCGTCGATAGAAATTTCCTAAGTTCATAACCTCGAGTGAGATTTCATGAATGTAGTAGATTTTTTTTTTTTGTTTAATTATGAATATAGTAGACAAAGTTGATCGGGCGTACTGGTAACACTCAGACTTGTCTTCAACCAAAGTACAGCGGTAGGTAATAATTGATGGAACACAGCGATACCTGTTTTGGTAAAACGCCACCAACATTTGGTGTTTGTACTCTCAGGGCGTTCCATCACTTATTACCTGTCGCTATACATGTATATACCACAGTTCATAGTCCGTCAAGACCCCATCCCGAAACCGAAACATTAGCGATCCAAGGTTTATCATCTTAGGCCTAGGTCGAAGTGGTTAGTTTATTCTTTACAGTCTACGCCGGTAGGCGTAGTAGTAAAGTAGGATCGTTGCGCCAGGTTAGGTGGCGGAGAGATAAGATACCATATAACCGATAAACCCACATAATTATATAGTTGGGACGTGCATCATCATTAAGTGCACTATTTGTAAAAGTTGAGGTAGAGAGGGAGGTCGTAGGGGTGGGGGAGGATAAGTTTGTGATACATGCATGTATTTACATACATGTAGGCACATTGTATATGAGTGTACCTGTAGTACGTCATGTATATGATATACACGTAGTTTACTCTTATGTGGATCCTTGCTTAATATCTTATAGCTACAAACATGTATTTATCCACGGCTCCGTCCCGTAGGAGATGGGCACAAGACTACATCAATTATATCCCTACCTAGCTGTATGTATTAGGAAAACAACAAGATGTAGATTTATAAATCATGTGCATCGGGGCCTAGCATATATATCGGCTCATTCCATTCCAATTCTCACCCTACTTCAATCTTTAAAGCTTTGCTATATACATACACACACACACATGCAGCCACCCGCGTTCCCGCACCCAAGCTCTGGCACAAGGTCTGTAACATTGGTACTCTCGGGACTGAGCTAACAGAATAAGTACATTTAAGATGATGAGTCGAATTTCTTTCGGTACGTGTGGTCTTTATATCATAAATTCTCACTCGCTAGTATTTGTTTAGGTTGGTTTTGATTTCTTATATTCCCGTTTTATCGAACACAATTCTAGCTATATAGCTCTTGATATGTAGTCTTATGAATGGACATGCATTGTCACCTGACTAACCCGAAACCCCTCTAAAAATCTCATGGGCCACGGCATCCTTTGCATTCAACCTCTTGCTGCCTTCATAAACTAATAATCTTCCCACCAAATCTCTCACCTCGATACTGGCGCCTGGTAGCAACTCCTCCCAGCTCTTTGTCGGGAAAACATGGAACAGAATCTTCCCGAAATCAGGAAATTGCTTCGCCTCTGGCCACGTCTCTGTTGTTGGCGTCCCCAATTTTCCAAAAATGCTTCCGACAAGTCGCAATTCACTCCCTAGATCCCCTGCATTGAAGAATGTCTCGATGTCTTCTTCCTGAGGCGCCATAAAGCACTCCGCAACCACGCACCCAAAAGCCCACATATCCAGTTCCGGCCCATAGGACTTCCACCCAAACAGGATCTCGGGTGGCCGGTACGCAGTCGTGCCCACATCCGTGATCTTCTCGTCCGCAGGCTCACTTGCAGGATCAGACGCATGCCATGCAATTCCAAAGTCGGCGAGAACAGAAGTACCGGACTCGGAGACTAGGATATTGCTCGGCTTGACATCACGGTGGATCACGCCGCGCTCGTGGCACCATGCCAGGGCCTCGGCAGTCTGGCGGAGGATTGAAAGGCGCGCCTGGAGGGTAAGGTCCTTCCCACCGGGGTTGTCATGAAGCAGGATGTTGAGATCGTAGTTGTAGAACGGGAATACGAGCACGAAGCTGGATGGGGCAGGGTGAAGGATTCTAGCATTTGGATGATATTGGGGTGGCCTGTGAGTTGCGTAAGGATCCTGGCCTCCCTTTTGGAATCATGCGGAGCAATCATGGTTGCGGGGTTAGTAAGCTTTAGGGCCACAAGTTGGTGGGTGGTATGATGCGAAGTCGCCCGGTAGATGGTGGAGAAAAGGCCCGAGGTATGGTGATGGCAGGAGGTATATTTTCCTAATGTGGTGCCGCCGACAGCATCACTGAAAGTGAACCCATTTGGTGTGGGCGGAGAGAATGGAGGGGAGGGTGTGGGTAGATGAATTTGTTTGGTTTCCGGGGAGATTTTTGATTTCCAGGCGTAGGTATAATCTTCCTATGAGTGATACACAAAGATCAGCGAGTGATAATTGGTGAGTGAAATTCAAATTATGATGGGTCACGTGATACAGGAAGAACAGACAAATGGGTGTGAAGTCGAGTCCAGTTCAAAAACACCAAGAAAATCACGACTAAAGGAGGAACTCGCAGTACCTCTGTATCAGCCTCGTTGAAACATTGCGTCTCAATCTCCTGAGCGGTCTTGAGCGTCTGCGAATGCTGTAATGTAGGGTCTAGTCTTAATGATGAGGCTCTGCGGAAGCAAACAACGGGGAAACGTCAACACATGAACAACATGGGGGAGTCGGTAATACATCGTGAACAAACTAGTAAAAAAGGGGAATATCGAACGGGACCAACATTTGATCAATGACAGCAAATCTATCCGTGAAGCTAAGTAGTGATTTCCACGACTGCTGCGTGTTCGAAGACATTGTTAATGCGTGGTTGAGGGGCGGGGAGGGGCGGAATATCGTGCGAGGGTGCGTGGGTGCGGGGATAAAAGCAGAAGTTGAGGATGAGGGGGAATTCGCTTTCTTTTGCTTTATGGATGAATTTATTTAGATAGGTCTTTTAAGCGAAGTTATTCCTCACAATCACGGCACACACACACACATCACACGTACATACGCCAGTTAGAGTACCGGTCGTGGAGGAAGAAGTGATTAGAAGAGCGTAGAGCTTCTGGAATCGAAATGGTGTTACTTCTTTCCATCGTGCTTGTTGAGAGCGCTTTTTTTTCTCTCTTTCCTTTTTTCTGCAGACAGCGGTTCCACCCGGAGAATAACCTAGAGTGCCTGCCTACCTCAACACGATTTTCCCGGGGAGCATGTAGGCTGGTAGGGATTGTGGGGAATGGTTCAGTGACTATGCCACAGCGGGAGGCATTTTACAGGGTGAAGCTCTGGCCATGGTCCTGTATGTACAACAAGCATGATGGGATGATATTACCCTTGGTGAATTGCATGTATGTACTTAATCTACTCAAGAGTAGGAAGTACTGTTGGCACTCGCACAGCAAGCCACATCATCTTGGCTGACTAGGACACAGGCCAGTGCTCGAAGAATGAGGAGAGAGTAATTGTTGCACTTGCAGGTAATTATGCTGGAGTTTATATATACTCTATGCTACGGAGTATCCATTGGCCATCTGGAAGTAGAGTAGAGTTTGTTTATCCCGAGTATTTTCAAGCATATGTACCAACGATACATGGTTACACATACCGATAACTCCTAATTAGCTGCTAATCCCTCCTGTCTTTACTTAGACATTCTGCCCACATCATCTTCCCTATGTGAGACAACCACACGGACTTGACTGACTGAGTGAGACCCGACTGACTGATTGACACCTAACCCACTCGTCTTTCCTCTCTCAGAATTCTCCCCCCGTCCCCTTCCTGCATCTCATCCGTCCGCCTCGCACTCGTCAACATACATATACCCATCTACTACCAGCTGCTACATGTAATACTAGAGTCTACGTACATGCTCTAACTAACTGCCGCCTGTATTCACCACGCATACCCATCAGTATATCGACAACACCCCTCTCCACACCCCTTATCAGCATCGTCATCGATCGCTACTGTTATTATCACTTCCCTATACCTCTTCTGCGCTTCCTGATACTCGCTGGTGGGTTCTGAAAGTGTGCGAAAGAAAGTCGAAAAACAAGCAGGAAGAAAAAAAACTACACCATGGAACTGTCACGTTCCGAGTACCCGGGCATTGTGGTTTGTGTTTTCCCTCACTTATTTCCCACTCACAACAGGTGCCATTGCCATTGCCTTCCCTCATTCCCAGGGCTATGTTTTCCTGTTTATTGGAGGAATTATTGATCGCTGACCTCTCTGGGATTGTCTTCGTCCCATTCCGTCCCGTGTAGAGCTCCGTACATCCAACACCTGCAGTCAAGATTCTCCGGGATCGGTTACAGAGAGTGCAGACTCTAAACCTTGAGATCGCCGATTGGCTTCAGGTACATACCACTCCACGCACCTGGCTGGCTAGCTAGCTAGCGAGAGCGATCTTCTCCCCACTAAACCGTATCGCTAGGAACGCCGACGAGTCGAGGAAGCTTACGCACAAGGGCTGAACAAACTCGCAAAGCGAACGATACAAGGGGACGGTTCGGATTTAGGGTGAGTCGCCCATAGTTTTGCATTTGCTGCTTGCAGGTTCTTGTCAATTGCACCCTTCCTCACACATTTTTTCTTCCTCATTTTCAGGGTGTTTCAAGGTCCATGGACTCGCATAGCCAGCTCGACTACGGCCCTGGCAACCTCGCACCAGGAGTTTGCGCAGCGCATTGACACAGAAGTGGAGCGCCCGCTTAGGGACTTCACGAACAGAAATCCTGAATGGTCGGGAATGAAGAGCATGGAGATGACGTTAGCAGCCGCGGCAAAAGCCGTTGACCAGGCGGAAGAAAAGTCTGAAAAGATCAAGCGACGGGGCCAAAAGGCGAAACACGCACAGGTAGCCGAGGCAGCGAAGGGAGTCGAGAGCGCAAATAGCGAGTGGGAGAGCCAGGCGCCATTCGCATTTGAAAAGTTTCAGGCAGCGGATGAGAGCCGGTGTAATCATCTACGGGATGTCCTGACGACATGGCAAACATTGGAGCTGGACCAGGCGCAGCGGAATATGCAGGCTGCTGAGACGACGCTGAATGCAATTTTGGATATCAATACCAACGATGAGATCAAAGGGTTTGCGAACAAGGTTACAGCTGGGAAGGCGAAGATTGAGAGGCTGAGAAGCCGAACGGGCAGCAGTGGTGGCCCGCCAGTGCCAGGTATGCCGTCAACACCATCCATTGTTACAGATGATGCTGTCAGTGTTCACACCTCCGGCTCCGGAGGAGGTTCAGGAGGAGGTATGTTTGCACAAATCAAGCTCCGTATCTCAATGAACTGACGGGATTTAAAGGCTCCTCTTTAGGTCTCAAGCGGCTAGGCACTGTTCTCAGAGGCCGAAATCGAAATAGCTCGATACCCTACTTCAGGTCAGCATCGCCAGATAAGCGGCCGGACTCAAATGGCAAGGGGGGCCCTGGCCGAGGTCTTCTTGGGCTTATGCCGCCGTCACCGGCGTCGCCTTCGAGCAATGGCCTTTCTCCAGAACACCAGTCCGTGGGGATCTCTGGTAGTGCAACACCCCCGAGGCCTTCAACTGGAAATGGTCCGCCGCCTACACCCACTACGAACGGGGAGAGTCGTCCTGAGACTGCAACGACTTTGTCCGAGGGCAACCAGATACCAGGCGCCATCACTCCTTCTGTAACTGTCACAGCTTCTGAGGTTAGCACAATTCTTCGTTTTTTTTTATATATGGGAAATATACTGATCAGATTAGCCTCAAACGGATGCCGAAGGATACACAATTCCGCCGCCAATTCATGATATTGGGCAAGGTTCAATACCAGATGAGGCTACTGAGTGAGATCCCTAAGACACACTCAATATAGCAATGAGTTTGGGCTAACAAACTCAAAAGCGAACAAAGCCAACCTCAATTCAAGGTCGAGATTAAAAACGACGTAATTCACGAAGAGGAGGAAGAAGCAGATGCTGCACTATCAAAAGTCACATCTACGCTAAGAGCAGTAAGTATTATCACGTGATCGTGGCTGGCAAACAATCTGACGTTAGAGCTTAACAGCAACAACAAAATACGGTTTCTCGAAGAACGAGAGGACGGAGGGATGCTAGTCAAGTGCGAAATACCATGTTTATTCCGAATCCACAAGATTTTGAAACGCCTTCGTCGCCCCCACTTACTCCAATTAAATACACCCCTAAATCGTCCAACGCTGCTTCCGAGTGTGCCTCGGATACCCTATCAATAAGGTCTTCAAGATCCATAACAAGCCTTACAAATTCCCAGATGAGGCATCCAGATTTAAATGAACTGGGCCTTTCTGCTTCTTTAATAGAAGCCATAAGCATGTCCTTTGAAAACGGCGTCCCACTAAGAACCCAAGTCACTGGCGAAATTGCGGTTGCATACAATCCCCACGATACCCCCTCACACCCCACTACTGAGATCCTCCGAATCGATAACTTCAGCCTGTTGGAGAAGGTAGCACCAAACCCAGCATTCATAACTGCTGTTCCCGACCATGTTGCAGAGTATACTCTCTCCCTTGCCAACATCCATAGAACCTCCGTTGCATTCAAGTATCAGATCCATGTTGACGAAAATAATATGAATGTCTTCGCCCCAATCATTGTCAACCCTGTGTGGCGAATCGAGCCCCACCAGAGCTCGGTCATTGTGCACTGGAAGCCTAACCCACTATTTCGACGCTTGAACGGTGTCACTGGCGCATTCACGATGAAAAACGTTATTTTCTCCACCGGTGTTGAAGGCGCCGCAACCTCATCATGTCAGTCCAAGCCTGTCGGCGCTTTCTCACGAGAAAGGGGTCGTCTGGTATGGAAGCTGGGTGATGTTTCTATCAGCCCAGAAGATGTAGAAAATGGTGCTAAGAAACTTGTCGCGCGATTTGCTACCGACGGTCAGGCGCGGAATCAGCCTGTCGACGTTAGATGGGAGATCTCAGGAGAGGATTCAAGCAATGCTGGGAGCGGGATCGCGCTATCTGTAAAGGATAAGGTTGAAGCTGCACCTACAGAAGAGAAGGAGCCTGAAGATCCCTTCGCAGATGCGGAGGTGAAGAGTATGGTTAGCACTGATGTTGTCATTGCTGGTGGGGAAGAGTGGAAGGGCGTTGTGACGGTGAGGAAGGTGGTCAGTGGGAAGTATGTGGCTAACCAGCAGAAAGACAACTGATGGGTCAATGGTAGTGGGGTGAATAGTCTATTTTTCTTTTTCCTTTCTTGTTTTATACTACGGTTTTTACCCCCCCCAGAAATATATGGCTGGGGTATGATTGATAGTCTCCGTTCATTATAGCGCAACATCGTCACCACATTCCTTTTGTTTCCTCGTGTGTATTGGTTCTTTTTTGTCCGGTCTGGACGTGTCTTGAAAAATATTTTCCTTTGTCTTATTCATATCTTTCCATTAATCGAAGGCTGGTATTTATTGATATAATTACTTCCGCTGATCTGAGTACTAACACAAAACAGTACCACTATCGGGCTATTAGCTCTATATATCCTCTAGTTCTTACGTCCTTTTCTTATTTCAGTACTCTTTATTTTGTATTTTAATACTTTTTGTGACGAAGAAAAAAGAAACACGGAGTTTGTGTTTTGTTCTTTTGATCTCCCAGATTGTTTCGTTTGTTGTTCCCTTTGTTTGGTTTGGTTATATCGAGTATAGTATCGTGTTGGAATTAAAATGAAAAGTAGGATGCGATCGCCGGGGTAGTGTTTGCGATGTGTATGCTACTGTAATAGCTAGTTTATGTTGAGACTCGCTTTACATAATTAAAAAATATTATTCCTAAGCTGTAAAGTTTGGAGAAAGCTGATCATCACGAATGAATTAACCAATTATATTATATGATCAATCAAAACACTGTAATCACTCGCCCTTTCGGCCGGGTAACGTAGTATAAGTTATGTAGTCAGCTGCATATAATTCAAAATACATTCTGGTGGAAACGTGGTGTTAAATCCTTCGAGAGTATGGAGTGACTTCGTAGAACGGGACAGGTCGCGAGATTAAGTGTCTATATTATTCTCTTCTGTCGTATGGTATCAATATATTGAGCGAATACTCATATATCCCGGAAATGCGTAGTTTACAGTACGCTACTCAGGCTGTGCCAAGAAATGAGATGTCATCCGCCAAGGCCCGCTACCCCCAAAGTACAGCACCTTAACGCTAATACTATTTCAGTTTTCTTCTTGTCGGCGACAACCAAGATCATCGACTCCAGAGATCTCAACACCATCCAGCAACACTGGACCGTCGCGAGCGTTCAGGTACAAAACCACCTACTCTCCCCAGATATCCCAGTCAAAGTCACTTCGGCCGCTCCTTTATCAGTGCCTACTATCACACTATTCTTCCATAATCGCCCCCTGCCTTCCACTCACGATAACGACACCAGCTCGCGATGGGTGTCCCAGCGCTTTTTAGATGGCTCACCAACAAGTACCCGAAGATTGTCTCTTCGGTTATTGAAGATCAACCACAAGAAGTAGATGGTCAGATCATTCCGGTCGACACTACTAAACCAAATCCTAATGGCGAAGTAAGCCCTCTTTAGAGCCGAGTGGCGCACGTGTTGATCCGTCTGCAATTCTTTGAAAATCGCGTTACTAACTGGTCGTTCTACAACCAGGAGTTTGATAATCTCTACCTCGACATGAACGGGATTGTGCATCCGTGTTCCCACCCCGAAGACAAGGCTCCTCCGGAGACGGAGGAGGAAATGATGTTGGAAGTGTTCAAGTACACTGAGAGAGTTGTGAACATGGTGAGGCCTCGCAAGCTTCTCATGATCGCTGTTGGTATGTTTAACGTTCGCGCGAGCCAGGCCATTAAGGGCACTTGCCAAAACCAATCAATGCTTGCTTCGGGAGATCAAGGAGTTTCTCCGAAGAAACTCTTTTATTTTTCATTGTTTTGTCCATGATTGTTGTCCAATTTTGAGCTAACCTCGGATTTCTAGACGGTGTCGCGCCACGTGCAAAGATGAATCAACAACGGTCAAGAAGATTTAGGTCCGCAAAAGAGGCGAAGGAGAAGGAGGCCGATACCGCAGAGTTTATCAGGATGCTCGAGGAGAAGAGAGGCAGTAAGGTCGACGACTCGCTTAAGGATAAGAAAGTCTGGGATAGCAATGCTATCACTCCCGGAACTCCTTTCATGGATATTCTTGCGGCATCAATTAAGTATTGGATTGCGTATAAGCTTAATACTGACCCTGCCTGGGCTAAAGTAAGCAAACACTCTATTTTCCCCGTTGTAGTCATACAAGTAACTAATGATATTGTTAGATGAAAGTGATCATTTCCGACTCCACTGTTCCTGGAGAAGGTGAACACAAGATCATGGAATTTGTTCGTTCCCAGCGTGCCTCGCCCGACCATGATCCTAATACTCGTCATGTGATCTACGGGCTCGATGCTGATCTCATCATGTTGGGTCTCGGCACCCATGAGCCTCACTTCCGTGTCCTCCGTGAAGATGTCTTCGCACAGGAAGCTCGCGCCAAGACTTGCAAGATCTGTGGCCAAAAGGGCCACCGTGCAGAAGAATGTACCGGAAAGGCGAAGGAGAAACAGGGCGAGTTCGACGAGAAGTCACATGCTCCGTCCGTAAAGCCATTTGTATGGCTGCATGTTGGTATCCTCCGTGAGTATCTGGAGGTAGAACTCCAGGTGCCCGGGCAAGGATTTAAATTTGATCTTGAACGCGCCATTGATGATTGGGTGTTTATGTGTTTCTTTGTCGGTAACGATTTCTTGCCACATCTTCCGAGTTTGGAGATTAGAGAGAATGGAATCGATACTCTGATGGCTGTCTGGAGAGATAACCTCCCTGTGATGGGTGGGTATGTAACGAAAGACGGTAGCGTTGAGTTAAAGAATGTTCAGTTCATTCTTGATGGTCTTGCGAAGCAGGAGGATGCTATTTTTAGGAACAGAAGGAAGGTTGATGAGCGTCGCGAGGAAGGCGCAAAGAGGAGGAGATTGAACGAGTCTGGCGGTGGTAGAGGGGGCCGAGGTGGGAGAGGTGGTTTTGGAGGAAACGACTCTCCAGCAGATTCGCCGCAGGGCGCTGGTAGAGGTAGAGGAAGGGGTCGCGGGCAGCCCGACTCGGCCCCGCCGCCTATGATCCCGTTATTCAAGCCAGGCGATATCACGAAGGACACGAGAAAGATGAATTACGACATGGTCATGAACAGGGAGAACATTAGAAAGGCAAACCTGGAAAATAAGAGTGCTGCACAGGCGCTTAAAGCCCAACTCATGGGTGGAGGATCCGCCGAAGCCCCAGTAGAAGCTCCTGTTAATGCTGCTGAGGTTGAGGAGGAGATGCCCGATGAATCCTCAACAGCAGTGGCTTCCCCAGTCGCTCATAAGCGGAAGGTCGACGAAGTTGCGCCTAGTACTCCCCCAACTCCCGCTGATGGTGAAATGCCGCCTGACACTGTGCGTCTGTGGGAAAATGGATACCAAGATAGGTATTATGAGCAAAAGTTTGGTGTTTCACCCGACGATTATGCGTTTCGCAAAAAGGTCGCAGATGCTTACGTTGAGGGTCTCTGCTGGGTCCTCTTATATTACTTTCAAGGCTGTCCATCGTGGAACTGGTATTACCCATATCATTATGCCCCGTTTGCCCAAGACTTTAAGGATCTCGGTAGTCTCGACATAAAATTTGAGCGTGGGACTCCGTTCAAACCCTTTGAGCAGCTCATGGGAGTTCTCCCAGCTGCTAGTAAAGTAAATCTCCCTGAGCCATTCCAAAAGCTCATGACCGACGAGGACTCCGAGATTATCGACTTCTACCCGGAAAATTTCCCAATCGATCTTAATGGGAAGAAATTTGCTTGGCAAGGTGTTGCACTGCTGCCGTTCATCGATGAGAAGAGATTGCTAGATGCCGCGCAGAGGATTTACCCTTTGCTGAGCAAGGAGGATGCGGGAAGGAATGCCATGGGTCACGATGTGTTGTTTGTTGCGGACACTAACGAACTCTATGACGATGTCGCAGCAAAGTTCTATAGTAAGAGACAGGATGTTACCGTATGTGCCCCCCCCCCCCCCCAGTATTACTTTCAGATTACCATTCACTAACCAAAACAGAAATATACCATTAACCCACATAAATCCCAAGGTCTCTCCGGCACCGTCGGCAAAGACCCCGCCTACATCCCCCGCTCCACACTTCCGTACCCCCTGAAAACTGGAGAAATGCCCGAAATCACCGACGATCGCAGCATGTCGCTTTTCTTCGAATTCCCCAAGTCCAAACATGTCCATAAATCTCAACTTCTCCGCGGTGTAAAGTTCAACGAACCTGTCCTCACCCGCGCGGAACAAGAGGAGGTGAAACGCCGCTCCACTAACGGTGGTCGCAGCTACGGCGGCGCACAGCTTTACCGCAATAACTCTGGGCGTGGCCGCGGCCGCGGCGGAGGCGGAGGCGGTGGAGGAGATTATGGCAATAACCACCAGGGAAGCTTCAGAAGTGACAGAGGAGGAGGAGGGGGTCCACCCAGCTATGGTGCCGGGACATGGTCGGCACCTCCACCGCCGCCGCCGCCGCCAGGAACATGGGGTGGCAACAATAGCTGGGCTCCACCTGGAGCTCCCCCAATGGCGGGCGGGCCACCGCCCATGAGCTGGCGTAATAACCCGCTTGGTGGGCCTGGGGGATATGCGCCTCCCCCGCCGCCCCCAGGGACTGGGTTTAGTTATGGTCGGGGCGGAGGATACTCAGGCGGCAATAATAGCGGCGGCGGATACGGCCAGCAATCAAGGGGTGACGACAGGTATAGGCCTGGCGGAAACGATAGGAGGGGTGGCGGCGGCGGAAACTACGGCGATAGAGACGGCGGCAACGCTGGTGTTTGGAGGGGAAGCGGTGGAAATAGAGGTGGTTATCAGGGTGGTGGAAGTGGTAGAGGCTACCAGCAGGGGTACCAGAGATGAGACGAAATGATGGCATGTACTAAAAGTTAGAGTGGGGACATACTGTAATTTTCTTGAAAATTTTCATTTTCTTTCTTGAATTTTGTAAGTTTAGGATGAACGTTTAGTTTTATGAGATCGGGTGATCCCTAACGAATAAACATTTCACTTCGATTAGTCACAGTATTGAATTAAATCTTTCGAAGGTACAAGTACTCGCGCGTTAATTAAGTCCTGAGAAGTTTTGTGAGGTCGTTGCTACAAAGAATTCTCAGGACTTACATACATGTAACTATGATATTAATTGGTTGCCTAAAAAAAGGTATTACATAAGATGTAGTTGTGACACATGGATAAGGCTTAGGTAGGACATACATGTAGTTATATCATGAGCCATGAACATTTTTGCATGGTGACCGTATAACCGTTTGCCCGTCTATTAACCCTCACCCATAGCGCTTGGCGGAAAATATCTTGTTATTTTGATCATTGACTACTGGCCCAAACCAGCTCATAGACGACCTGTAGTTCTAGCACCAATTTGGAGAGAGCACCTATGTAGGGATCTCTTCAAGGGCCTCCACAAACGTCCCCCAAGACATATCCTTCCATATCCCTAATATTTAACCTTCCCAGAAACCATGACTTAGGATATTCCAATCAATGGTGAGTAGCAGCATCGTGGTTAGCTAGAATCGGCTCGGACTCAGTGAGCTCGAAATTCGGGCCCGAGGCAGCTTGAGCCAGTTTAAATGATGGACTACACCATAAACCTCTTAAATATTCAACTGAAAATCCTATCAAGTGAGTCTGTAGTTATACGCGAGCTTAGACGTGTATTGGAGTACTAAAAGTTTGATTAAATCACCATTAGTAAGGATTGACGGTACGTTTACTAGGCACGACGCCCCTGGACTTCGACCCTATCCTACGGGGACAGTCGTATGCTCTGAACAACGGCCCTGAACTGGTTTCTAGATGAGTTCCTCCTAGCTCGTAAGAATAGGTAGCTACAGTACGTAGCTTCATATTAATTTGATTATTTGGAACCTTGATATGTTATTATGGGTTGGGGTTATAGCCAATCGGAGAGCGATAAGCTCTTGCCCCCATAACTCTTCATTTTGTTTAGTATAAGAACAAAGGTTTAGTTATCAGTTGATATTTTGTGGTGGATCTAATTAAGTGGGTATGTAGTACATGTAGTACATGTAGGCTAAAGTAATTTCTGTTGGTCATATATCATAGTTTGTGGTAGGCTCGTGCTTTTCTTCTAACACTCTAAGAGATGTTCGACTTGTCTTGTTTTCCAAGTTCGGCCAGTTTTTGTTGGCTGAATACGTCAGTGTCCGAGGGTTATAACGTAAAAGTGAAAGCTCGACGATTTTCAGATGTCCACATTCTGCGACGTACATGTACCTGTAATGCTGGATTTTGACCTCATATTGATATTCATCCCTAGATTGAGAGCAGTACAATTGAAAGGCGCAGATGTGTCCCTATTGTAGACTACTCCGCGGTTTCTTTAAGCCGCCTGACCGAACCCCTGCTCGTTGGGCATAAGCCGCGTGCAGCAGTTAAACTTGTGCTTAATAAATATGTGTAAAGCTGGCAGCCGGTATTTTATAATGGCGTGTAGCGACCTTGTAAGAGGGAAAGACATCATCACTACATGTAAGTGCATTTCTCCACTAATGGAAAATCCCCATCACATATAATCACTCGTCCCCAGCATTCAGGGCCGCAAATTCCAAAATAGAGTTCAGCCAAACGTTTCGAGCCTACAGATGTTGGTAACACAGCTCCCCCCTTTCAGCTGGGCTTATATCCCTAGAAACGCACAACATTTCAATAAACCGTGAAAGTGTCCCACGAATTCAGAACCACCATACGCATGTAACCACTATAAAAGTTTCTTATGAAAATTGTGTGTACTGAAACTCATCATTTCGGGATTTCTGTCGACAACCACCTGCCGGATCTATTTTGATTTTGTTGATGTACATGTAGCTCTGTGGCAACAATGATAACCCTAAATTAAGTGCCAGGGAGGTATGTTAGCTAGCGTTTCCCCTAGACATTCAATGTTTATCTCATTCCGTTTTCAACCTGCCCCGCCGGATCCAGTTCACGAAAGGAAAGGCCTTATGTGAAGCCGCCGTCGCAAAGGTCTTACTGCTTGTTATACTCCAAGTATTAGCTACATACAGCAGAATGACGCCTTCAAGGTCCGCTCACAGCGCCGCCAAGAGTGCCTAGATGTATGTCCGTCACGTGATAGGCGCGCGCATCAAGGTTAATGACAGTGCGTGCTCGGTGATAGTGCTATGTTTCAGTCAAGTGTTTTGCTTAAGGGGAGATTAATTTCCTTGCTATATCGCAAACGTCACTTGTGGAGGAGAGAGGAGAAGAGGAGGAGGAGGTAGAGGAGATGGGACCTAGTAGTAGTGATGGTCCAGAGATACCAGATCGATACCAGATCGATCCCACTCTGCCTACTCTGCACACACAGCGTGATGATGCGAAGTGAAAAGGGTGGACCTAGAAATGCAGCGCACAGTCGTTCAATTCACCAAAGCGGCGCTCTACACCCCGCCACACCTCGGCATTCCCCCCCCTCCCTCTCGTTTGCCTACCCTATCGCTCCGATCCAATTTCCTTCTTTCTTTTCAGGTCCGCCCGCCCGCCCACAGAAAAAAAGAGTGTGGGGTTAGGGTTGGATGTGCGCAATAGCTAGGTGCCTGTAGTTAAACCCCCGTTCGTTATTGCAATCAGCTCACCGGCTTTGCATGTAATTATTGCAATTCTAGTAACCCCCCCCCCCCCTTCCCCTCCAGGTACTTAGTAGTTAGGTAGACGATTGTTCGTTCCTTCCCTCTCTAACCTTACTCTACCTCCCAGCCAACCCATCCCGGCCCCCGACCAGAAAACCCGCATTCTGTCCCATCACCTACCTAACTGCTCTACTACCTACTACTACCACTGACTACTACTCTTCCTACTATTACCTACATTACCTTCCATATCGCTCACCCATTCACCGAGCATCTCACATAACCCCCTTCCCACCTTTGCAGGAAGTTACCGGGGAAAGAACCGTCCGTAACCCCCCCCCCCCCCAGGACGAACGTGTCTTGTAATATTATCATTGTTTTTTCCTGCGACAATCTCCCGACCAAACCTGCCGCCCACCGACCGCATCCCCCCCCCCCCCCCCGCGATTCCATCCTCACCAACCCCCACGATATAACACTCCTCCCCTTCCATGGATGGGGACAGGAAGCTGGTGCAGACTCTCCTGGAGCGGCTTTCGTCGAGGGTGAGCCATAGCGCCCGTTTATATTTTCCCCACGCCTTATCTCCCTTCCCTTCTTCTTAATCAGGACTGATGATTGATGGGGAATTCTGTAGCTCCCGAATCGGACTGGCGATGATCTGAATGATGTTAGACGCGATGATCTGGTCGCGCTGACGAGGGGGACGTTGATTGAGCTGGCGCGCAGCCAGATTGATATACTCGTCGAGTGCATCTCGAAGCAGTTGGAGATTGTGTCAAGGGTATGCCCCTTCTCCATTCATTCATGTCCATTTCTTATTTCCCCGGAATTTCCATTTCGTCGGGATCTCATCTCATCTCCTCATCTACCCACCCCCGCATGTCCCATCTTTTACTCCTAATCTGCTACACATATTCCCCCCCACCCAATGCCACAAGTAACTCATCTCTCCTACCTAGGGCTACGAAAACACCTCACCCCGCTCCCGCCCGCAACTGGTCCTCCTTACACAGACATACCTCGTTGAAATTCTCGCCGACTGCACCTCCGCCCATTGGGACACACTCGATCCCACACACCCGCGGAAATCACGCCGCCGTGACCGCGAACCGCCGCCTCTCGACGATTCACTAGCTAAACATGTTTTGGACTCACTAATGCGACTCACAGCGTCACCGGCTGCGGACACCGACGCTCATAGCATGGTGATGACCATCAACACCATGACATCTGCAGACACTAGACGGGAAAGGGGTTCAAATATGTCCGGATCCACGCACCGTGATTCGAGAGCTACCAATCGGGAAAACAGGGACCGAGATCGAGATAACAGGGACCGAGAGTCGGAAGTGGAGGCACCGCTGGACGGCCTACCAAAGAAGCCAACAGAGCTGGAAAGAGCAACCTACAAGGTCATTGAATACTTATCTGCGAGTAACTGGAATCTAGTATATCACACCTTTTCAATAAAATTGAAGACTCTACGGACAACAGCCGCAGACGACAGTGATGCGACTAGTCTATCATTCATATCGCATCTGCACCTAAACTCTAAAAAGCTCTCACTTCTACTGCAAGAGATTGGCGGATCTTTCCTCCCACTTAGGAAAGCACCCCAGAACACCCTTGCTTCATTGCTGCCAGAAACGATACAGCGATGGATTGACGCTCGACCGGGTGAATTTGTCGATCTTCATGTCGCAAACCGCCGTCTCGAAGGAGGTGCCGAGATCTTATTTGACCTTGCCACCGGCCTTGTGGACGGCACAAAGCGGCGGGGTATCCTATGGCCTCTGCAGACAAGTTTGGTGCTGCTCCTGCCTGATGTATTTTGGGTTCTTGAGATGCGGGGGGAACAGCGGGGAGGCAGTTTTGCGAAGAAGGTCGCGTTCCTTAGTAATTTAAGGCAGTCTTTAAGATTGCCAAGGAGCTCAGATATTGCTGCGTCTTGTCTCATCACCATTTGCCGGGCCGGTGCACTGTTTCCGGCGGAGAGCGAGAGTGCTTTGCTGAGTTTTGCACTGGATGTGCAGAATGATATAACGGATGAAATATTCAAGAGACAGGGGTGGGGAGGAGCTGCAATGAGTGTCCTTAACGGAACTAATGGCAAGGATGGAGGAAAGGATGAAGCAGGCGGAAGAGAGAAGGATGGAGACGCAGTGGATCGGGATATCATGATCAAGGCCTTTGTTAGTAGCGCAAGATTAAACGTGGAGAGTGTAGTGGAAGGACTTCTACCGA